CTCCTCCCTTCCAGCAGATGGACACACGCTCCCTGCTCAGTGTCATCTGCAAATTTACTAATGAAATACTCAACGCCATCATCCATGTCATCAATAAAAATATTGAATAGGACTGGCCCAGCACAGACCCATGGGGGACACCACTGGTGACTGATCCCAGCTGGATTCAGCACCATTCACCACCACTCTCTGTTCCCTGCCATCCAGGCAGTTCTTCACCCAGCACAGAGTGCTCCTGTCCAAGCCGTGGGCTGCAGCTTTTCCAGGGAATGCTGTGGCAGACAGTGTCAAAGGCCTTGCTGGAGTGCAGGTACACAACATCCACAGCCTTTCCTGCATCCACAGATCCTCAGGGTGGCACAGTCTTGTAGCTGTGCTTATACAACACCTACCATGACAAGGGCCTGGTAAAAATAGAAGCCCAAATAACCAAAGCCATTGCACACTCACATACATATACACAGTTTATGCAGACATTACTGCCAAAAAAAGTTATTCTTCCATAAAGCCAATGACTGGATCTGCTGCCCCCAAAATGAGAATTTTACTCTAATCACATAAAAAGAACAACTTCATAAACACAGGAAGAAAGGGAGAAATGATGCTTCCTGTGGGAAGGAAGTCCATTTAAAGCAAGAATAAATTGATGCAGTCAATAGAAAAAAGAAAAAGAAAAAAAAAAAAAGCTGGTATATGCAAATAGACATTTAATAGCCATCTTTGTGCTCCTAAGAAATATAATTTACTGACCTTTGAGAGATGGGTCAAATAGGCCCATAGAATAAGAAACAAAGGCATCTTTTTGGCAAGTGCCATGTTCCAGAGCAATAATTATCCTTTCCTCTCCCCGTGAGCAGTAGGAAATGAAGAGGGATGCCATTACACCATGACAATTACTGTAATTTTAATTTCTAAATATTGCTAGGAAAGTTTCCTCCCATTAAAAAAAAAAAATCGTCCTTTCAGATTTTTGATGTGGTTTTAGATAAAAACTCATTCCCCAGCTAAAACACAGCTGTGCTTCCCCTTCTCCCACTCCCTTTGGGGAAGCACCCATAAAGTCTTCCTTAAACCCACTTTCCTCCCCATTAGTGGAGAAGAGAGAATTGCAGAGAATCACAGAATGGTTTGGGTTGGAAGGTACCTTAAATATCCTCTTGTCCAACCCTCTGCCATAGCAGGGCCACCTTCCACTATCTCAGGTTGCTCCAAGTCCCACCCTTCAACTCATCCAACCACGGGCACAAAAACAAATAAACAGTCTGATAGATTCTTTCTTTCAGAAGTAGATGATGTTGGATGCACGATAATTATAAAAAAAGTTTAAAAGAAGGATTCTTTTCATCTCCTGTGCTCAGAGACATTATTTGATCTGTTGTGGATTTTTCACAGTCTACCAATAATTATTTTAATATTATGGATAATCTATTCCTGCTATTAGAACATTATCATATTATATGGAGTTGCTGGACTGTGGGATGGATTTCACCCTAGAGGACACACCTGGTCAGCTGTCCAGCCTCTCCTGCCACTGACCACACTGTCCCAGGCTCCAGGGGACACCTGAAATACTCCCAGTCCTACACTGGACTCTACCTGGGAGGAGGAGTTTGCACCTTGGTGCATCCGTGCAGGGGGAGAAGTTGGATCTGAAGCCCATCTAGCCCATTTGCCCCCAAAATAATCAGGAGCAGAGGCGACCATATCCCAAATCCTGTCTCTGCTGTGAGCTGCCCCAGCAATTCCCATGAACTGGAAACTACCTTCCAAAATTCCCCTTAATGAGCTTTTTGAGGTCTCATTCTGCCCAGTAGGTGAAGATTTAAAATTACTTTCACAGATTCAAGGGAAAGGACTTTCTTCCTTTATTTTTTTTTTTTAATTGTTGCCACAAGGCACATTCAACAATGATCATTGAGTGTAGTAAAAAGTTGTGTCTTTCAATATATGCACCTATAGAACTCCATTGATTTGTCTATACACAAACACATTCCTACAAACATATATTTGATTAAGAATTTATATAACTTCAGGCTTCAAGGAGTTTTGGATCAATGCCTTTATTTTGCCCTTATAAACAAATAAAGTCAATTAAAGAGTACTTACAACAAACCACAACGGGCAGGAAACTAATTTTCCCAAGGCTTCCCATGGCAATTTTTACCTGTTACATAGTTCTAGGGAATCAATTACTCCCTAAAGGAAAATTATTAGGGCTTGTGTTACCCAACATCTCACCTTTCCCACTCACCACTGGGAGAGAAATGTAGGGACAGGTATCCAGAAAAACCAGTATTCCTCAGACTTCTTACAATTTGCTGCAATAAATTAAAGTATAAATAAAAGAGAACAAAGCCCTGCAGGCAAGCAGTGTTTGAATCAAGGCTGGACCTGTACCAAGTCACTGTGCAGCTTCACAAGGCCCATAAATCAGGTCTCCTGAACATATGTAGTGTTTTGCATTATTCTATAGGGTGTTAACTTTAACACCTTAATATATTCACATAGTGGTCAGGTTACAGTTCCTGTGGGAACCATACATTTGTATGTCCTGGCCAATCTGCTGCTGCAAAAATAATAATAATAAGTTAAAACTAACCACACCACCACATTGCCTTCAGCAGGTTTTAGACCTTTAATTTTTCTCCTTCCTGTATTTGAGGGAGGAAGAAGAGAAGACATGTGACGATGCAAAAGTACAGGGAAGCTGAAGCAGATGTGAATTAATTTTCATCCTTTCCTTGCATGAAGGCTTGTGTGTCCCCAGCCCAAGCAAGTGTCACTGCATGAAAAAGATGCTCTTGGGTGTGATCAAGCCTATTTCTGAGTCAGAACCCTCTCACCCAGGACATGCTACAACCTCCTTTTGTAATCCACCAAAACCACCTCACCTACAAGTGATAACTACAAGGAGAAACAACCTGAGCTGATCCAGTTTATCCCAATTTCTGCTGATTCTGCCTGACCCACACCAACCTGATCCTGCTACAATATCCCAGGGGTTGGATTCCTACCTGGTTTAAGGCAAACGGGGTTGTCTCTGTCCCTTTCTGCCTTCAGCCTCCTTTTACTCCAACCCCACCATTACTCACTTAAAGATTTGAGTATTTTTTGCCTGGCATCCTAATTTTTTCCCATATTAAAACTCTGTTTACTTCTACAGAAAGTTGTTTTTGGAGTCATCAAGCAATTTCAACATACCAAAAAAACTGTTTTCATCCATGCTTGCTCCCAGTGCCAACAATTCACAGTGATTAGCACTCTTCATTCTATTTGCCCTGGTTCATGGCCAGCAGTGTCCCCCATCCTGTGGAGCAGCCATGGCCATGCCACCACATGGCAATCCAGGCAAGGACAGAGATGTTCCCCTTCCCTGCAACCCACTCCACCAACAGCAGACAACCAAAATTGGTTAAAAGCCCAAGAAGTGATAGATACAATTCAGACAGTGTGCAAACGAATCACAGCTAATTTGCACAGAATTACCCAATAAATATTTGTTTTATGTGAGATTTGACCACAGTTAAAGGATATGCTATTTATGCCCCTGTTAAACACAGATCACCAGCTGGTGGACTAAACCAGACTGTTAATTTTTATAAACACAGAGCTAAAAAGTAACATCTGTGCACAATCTCTCCAAAGGTAGCAGTGGGAACCTTCACTCTGGATGAAGGAACTCATCAGCCCTTTGGTGCCTTATTTACATTTCACTGACATCTAAACCAATCAAGGAACAAGGTCTAAGGCAGAATGGTAATCCTTGAAAATTAATAAATATTAAAGCTTTGGTCCATTGATCTGCATTAATGATGGGGTTTTCAGTGGCACCATTCCACTCTTTTTTACAGAGAATCATCAATTCGAAGTTACAAAGTACAACTACTTCTTATATACATTAAGGAGGTTGTAGAAATCCAGGTGGTACAAGGCAGGGAGAGAAAAGTCATTAGGAAAGCAGAAAACCTGCTGACTGCCCCTTAAATGATAAAAAATATCCAAAATATCAGAAATAATCACTGAAATGAGACATAGAGTTCTGGGTTTTGGTGTCACAGTATCAGCTGTAAATTCCTACAAGTTTCTTAGCATGTGGGATTTAAGAGGCCAACTTAATCTCTGCTGGACCTTTACTTCAGCCAGTGGATCTCCTGCAATCAAAACTCTCTTGGAAATGTGTGGAGATTTCTTAAACACACACATACAGATATTAAATCCATAGTATTTTGCATTACTATTTATGAAAGACTACACATTTTTCTGTAAATATATACTTACACAAAGATATCTTTATAGTCATAATAATTTGCATATGTTCACAGGCACACATGCATCTGATTATATCTTATATATATTCACATACATGCACATGTGAAACTGAATATGTGCAAATATGGAGTAATCAGAGTATATATGAATATGCATACACCAATCAAAATAAATATATATACTCTGATTCTATATAGTATTTATTCATTGACAAAAATCCTAACATAGGCTGAAAAATAAGAAAAAGGCTTAATTTGCATATGTATATAATAACTAACCACAGTGCAAAGTAGCCAAAGAAAGCAGAATACATAATCCCTCTTAAAACTGGGGACAGGTTTGAAAAAAACTCTTCTTAATTTTTTTTATGAAATTGTTCTTGGAATGTGATTTCACTGCACCTACAAGCCCAGCTTCCAGGAAAAGGAGGTGTAGGACTGCTTTTTGATATATTTCATAGCAGACAAAACTCCCTTCAAGAATGGAAAAAAATAGCCCCATGAGGACAGAAAAGCAGAGAATAATTATACAGGTCTTATATAAGTCTTTTTTCCCCGAGTCTTGTTATCTTCCACCTCCAAAGACGTCACACATCTCTATTGTGTGTCTCTCACTGGCTTCAATGTAGGCAGTGGAGGAGCTCCAAGCTCTTCAGCATCATTTGTGGGGTTAGAAAACAGCTTTTTTAGCACTGTACTTACTTCCAAACACAGAAACACACGTGAACTTACCTGTTTGGTGCTTCTCTGCCCAGTAGGAAGCAAAGCTTTGGATTTCTCTGCTATTTTCTGTTAAAAGGAAAAGGAAAAAAAAAATCAGAGGGAAAATGGCTGAGAAAAGAGTCCAAATATTTAGGGAAGGAATCATATGAAGCTATTTTCTTCTGCTTTCTAAAGAAAGGGATATAGAGAAAGCTCTTATTCTTTAGAAAAAACAAGGGAGTATAAAAGCATTGAAAAGTTCAGTCTTGCAGGCATTAAAAGTCTTCAAAGCTTCCAGAATGACAAGGTTATCAAAACTGAAACAGGCATTTAAGGAATGACAGCTAGCATGTGGAAAAGTAGCAATTTATCACTCAGATTGTTTTCCTGATGCAGCCGGGCACTCACAAGCTGCAGTGGTTAATTTTGGCACTTCTGAATTGATGACAGTTTTTAAAATAAAAGAAATCCAACCTATATATGCAGTTCAGATGGGCTGTACTCATGCACATTAGGGGGAAAAAAGCATAAAAAGATGTTTGTGTGTACATGGGAGTGGAGCTTTTTACCCAAATAATTCCAACTTCTCGTTTAACACTTAACATAATTTCATGTAAAGACCCCACACTCAGTTTCTTGAATAGGACAGGTAAATAATTTAAAATTAAAATTAAAATTAAATCAAAATGAAGCAGCACTAGAGATGATGCAACTCTATTACACGACAGACATGCTGTTGAACTGCAATTTTATGTACATCTATTTATTTATTTAATTTTTAAGGCACAGGCAGCAAGTGCTGGGAAATAAATCAGTCCAGAGTGTTTCTAATAGAGACACATTATTAAGTGCATGTTGCCAGCCAAATTTCATTATCCCTCTATAATTACAATATATCCTTCCCATTGTTGCAGGCATGCGTCAGACTCATTAAAGTGATGTACAAAAGCCACCAGAGTTGCCCAGGTTGTATTTTGATTAATCCAGATATATCTCCTAACTTGCACTGCCAGGGAGGGTAGCAGTCTGGGGATGCTAAATTTAAGCCATTACTACAGTGTTTAAAAGCAAAGCAAATCTGCTCATCAGCAGAGGCTCCCCAGGGTAAAGAGGGTGAGCAAGAAGCAAATGAAGAGTTCAGGCTTTGTTTGTTTTATTAAACAGCTTGATCTTGGTGACACATTCCCAGCCACAAGATGTGCCTGGAAACTTTCTGACACAGCCAAACAGCAAAGCAGAGCCAGAAGATGGGGTAACATTTGAATTATCAGTGCTGCCTGCACCTTTTCTGTGAGCAAAAAAGGTGAGCTATGCAATCACCTCTCCTCCCCTGAGTGTGGAGGCACACTAAAATAATGTCAGGGCTAAGCCAGGGGAAATACTTCCCCCTGAACTCAGCACTGGGGAGCCACACCTCAAATCCTGGGGTCAGTTTTGGGCCACTCCCAACAAGAAGGACATTGAGGAGCATGTCCAGAGGAGAGAATGGAGCTGGGGAAAGGTCTGGGGCACAAGGAACTGATGAGGAGCAGCTGAGTGAGCCTGGAGAAAAGAAGGCTCAAGGGAGACCTCACTCTCTGCAACTCCCTGACAGGAGGGTGCAGCCAGGTGAGGATCAATGTGTTCTCCCAGGGAACAAGGGACAGGACAAGAGGAAATTGCCTCAAGCTGCTCCAGGGGAGGTTTAGATTGGAAATTCGGGATCATTTCTGCAGAGAAAAGCTTGTCAAGCACTGGAATAGGCTGCCCAGGGAAGTGGTGGAGACACCATCCCTGCAAGTGTTCAGGAAATGTGTGCATATGGCCCTTCAGGACATGGTGCTGGGTTAATGGTTGGATTTGATGATCTTAAAAGTTTTTTCCAACCTTAGTTCTATGACACTAGGATGCTTGACTTAGAAAGAAAGAAAAGAGGGAGGAAACTATTCATTAGCAGCCCCGTGGAGATGCTCCAGGCTCCTGGGAATTACACTTAACACAGATTGCCAGATGGCAGTGTGGAAGCAAGAGGGACACTCACTTTCTGCACAGCTCCATATCTCTGGATGGCATCTGACAGTTGGTTCTTCAGCCTGTCCAGCTGGAGCCGTTCTTGCTGTATTGGGAGAAAAAAGAAGGATGGTTAGCAGGTCTGTTAGGGATAAATCCAGTAGTAGGCTCTGTCTGCTGTCATGGGAAATTGTCCACCAAAAAAATAAGGTGGGCACAAATGGGATCCTAAAAGAATCACTCACACTGGGGCTGACAGGATGCAATAGGATTTTTTTTTTTTTAGGAAATGTGGTGCTTTGGTCTTTCAGGCCAAGTTAAATTAAAAAATTGCCACTGGATATTCAAGATAGCATTGGAGAAAATAACTGAAGGGATCTTTCTTTTTTCAGGTGATAAATCATGATAGAGTTGGTCACCTCATTTGAGAGATTTACTGGACTTGAGAAGTCAATCAGCCACAACATCCCCTCTCCTTGGTCTGGCTGTCAGAAACCAGCTTATCTTCATGTTTTCCAAAATACGAACCCAAATGTCACTGCCTTTATGGCTGGAGCTTGCTCCAGAAAGATTTCAATCTATGTTCAAAAAATAAACCAAAAAACCTGTTATTGGAAGGAAGAACACAGCCTCATGTAAGTACCCAACATGCTCCCAAATCTCTGCTCTCAGAGGGAATGACCAAACCCAAACAGTTCTCCTGGAACTCTTCTACACCCTGGATTTCAGATTTCACACGTGCAGGAGCTCACATGTCCAGATTTTACAGACAGAAATGCTGCAAGAAAGTGAGATGTCACCTTAAAAAAAAACAAGTGGAAAACAAAATCCAATCAACACTAAAGCTACTGAGCAGAAATGTTCACTTTCCAGCCACTTCAGCTGTTTCAGAAAACTGTTTAGGATTACAAAAGTAGATTTCATAAAGGATGGGATAAACAATTTTAATTTTAATGGTGGTATTTTCACACACAGAAGAATATCCCAGTTCTTCATCTAAAGATTTAAAACTATTTTTAGAGCAGGGCAAGTATCATTATCTACAGATAAAGGTCCATAAACCTTATGTTTGTTCCACATGCAAAATAAAATAAGATTGTCACCCTGGAGAGCTGATCTTATGCTCCAGCACTCACCCTACCAAAAAGAATGGAATTCCAGCTCTACCTCTCTATTTACATCCTTTGAGGTTAGTTTGGAATGAAGCCCTAAAAGAGCCATTTTCCATCAGTCTCCTGCCTTGTAGCACACTGATCCACTTAGAGCAGCATCTTTGCTCCTGCAATACTATCAATTTGCTCAGTTGGGCATCCTGACTCCAATATCTCCAGCAGCACTTGGAGATTTATGGGAAGTCAGAGAAAGTCCCATATTGCATCTTGTTGGCAGTGCATTGCTGGTGGAAAATAAGGAAGAAAAGGGAGGGAAAAAAAGCTTTTTTTTTTTTTTTCTATATGTGCATGCAAAGCAATCCACAGAAAAATGGATTGGTGAGGACTAACTATAAAGCTCTGTAAGGCTTTTCATGCTGTGAGTAATTTTATGGGAGGAGAGTTTGCAGTGCTACCCAGATTCCCAAGAGGGACTTACTGACCAGCAGCCAATATCCACCAGAACAATTCATTCTGTGTAAGGGATGGGGGCTACAGGCTTTCTATCAAAATTTGTAGGTTTAATTACTAAAACTCCACTGTTAGAAAAAAAGAGTTAAAAAAAAAAAAAAAGTTAAATTAATTGACCAGTGAGCAGAAAAAAAAGTTGTTATATAATGTAATAGAGAGCAGCAAGTTTATTCCTCATATTACTGAAGTTGTTTCTGTGTTTATTTTCTTCAGCTCTTAAATATTTTCCTTCAACTTTGCATTCTTTTCCTCATGACAGTAAAACCTCATCTCCTGAGAGTCCCCATTGGCTTCAAGGGCAAATAATGACATATTTGTGTGGCATTGTAATTGGGCTTAATGTGACCTTGCCTGATTCCCCTTTGGACCCAATTTATGTCACAAAATAGAGCCTGGATAGCAGCACTTAAAAAAAAAAAAAAAAAAAAAAAAAAAAAAAAAGAAAAAAAAAGCCCAGATCCCCATGTCTCCAAGGCAGCATCTTTTGTTTCATCAAGCTCAGATGTAATTATGCAAGAAAATGAAAAACAAACAAACAAACAAAAAACCCCAAAACAGTCCTTGCCATGCATCATTAGTCAAAGCAATGTTAAAAATTATTCTTGCATTAATCTTGATGTCTACCTGTGGAAACTGTCATTCCAGGCTTCCCTCCCCATCCTCTGGAGTAGACCATTATCCATTCTTTATTTTTCAGGCAGGCTGAATTGCACATGGTCCTTCACAGGTTACCAAGGTAGCCTCAAGTGACCCAAGTTTTAAATCCTTATCTCAACTGCCTGTTGGCAAGTGCCATAAATCCAGGCTGTAAAAACCACTTGGTTAGAGATGAGTTGTGTGTTTAGAGCAGTCTTATTTCTAGGTGGAAGGGCAGTGAGAACAGAGCTGAAGTAATACAGGACTTTGGAAAATGGCAGGTAGTGAGTGAGAATAAAACATGAACTCAGGAAAGCTCCTGACTTAGAAACCATATGGGTGCTGGAAGCAAGAGTTTCACAGAAATCAAGCAGAATTACCCTTATTTTCATTTCAGGTGCTGAATGTTATGTGGGTGGAAATTCTCCTTTAACTCTCGCACCAGCTGGAATCTGGTCCCCACAGTTTGCTTGTGTTCATGCCCACAATGCACATCATGGGCCAAAGTCAGCAATAATATCTGGGTATAAAATCATTGTTGGAAGTTCTGTTTGTCCAGTCCTTGCAATTGGGGACAACGAGATGGGGATCATTCATACCCTGGGACAGTGATCATATGAGTTGAACCTAGAGGTGACAGCCCAGTCTGCACACAGAACAGATGGGATTTTCTGGGGTAAACTGGAATTCAGAGTGCAGTAAATTCTAATTTAGAATCCTGCTCTGCCGTGGCCACAGCCTATATTTATCTATCCCCAAAGCTGCCTTTGCACTAGCACACAGCACTGAATCAGTGTCACAACCAGACATATTCCATGGCTTTGGCTTTTCCAGACACTTAACACACTCCCAAACTCACCTGCACCCCGTGCACCCACAAGTGAGTCTTGCTGCAATATTTTCACCCAGACTGAGACCCTGAGATAGATGTGAACTGGCCAAAGGCTCTGTTGCTGAGTTCTTGATTTCCAATTCCATATGAGCCAGTTTTGGGAGGAGAGCTGGTGTCTGCAGCTGTTTCCCCCTGGGTCATTTATAAGTGAAAACTACACTTGTTTGAGAGGAAAGGAAGCTATAGCAAGACATAGAGCATAACAGCTTTAAAGCATCCACTGCCACTTCTTATTTTCATTATTCCTCCTTCCACAAGACCCATCATTCTCCCCCAACAGCATCTTGACTGACACATACCCTGGATGAGCCTCTGACAACCTCAGACAGCTGCTTGATGGCTTTGGTGCTAGTCGTGATGGTTTTATTAGTCTCCTGCTGGGTGGCATGCCTGCAGAAGAGAAGAGATGATGGGAATTGCAATTGAAATTAATTGCATAATGAGACACTTGGAGAAATGTACCAAGCTGCAGAGCAATTGAGACAACACAACAACAGCAGCACACAGAGGCACAGGAGGGCTACAGGAGTCCTGGGTCTTGGAATGGAAGCCAGAAGGAAATACTGGGAAGGAGATGTCCAAAATATTCTTCCTGCTGTCAGCACAAAGACAATACCTGTGAACCATTCAAAGGGAAGTGATAAGGTGAAAACAGGGGGTGGACAGGGATCAAGGCCATCACAGATGGTTGGTATTGTAAATTTTCAAGGAAAGGTTGCACAGCAGAAGGAGACAGGACTGGGGAGGTGCCTGATGGCTTGCCCAGGAAAATATTGTTCTCAGGAGAGAAATCTGAAATTGAGCAGGACGAATTTATTTACCCTGGTCATCTACTCCCTAATGACATATTATCACCAGGAAAGCTCTGGGGATGTGAAGGTGCAATGTGCTTTTTTGTGCTTTTTCCAGTGCTTTACCAGCACTGAAACAGGTGGGAACAGAGCCAAACCAGTCACCCCTCCAGCCATGAGTGTCCCTCCCTTTTACACCCCAAATTCCAGTACCATCATTCATTGTAAGCACTGGTTACTGGCCTTACTCTTTGGGATCATACAAACGAAGGGGAAGAGACATAAATGCTTCCCAAAGGTATTTGTTAGCTCAGTCCAGTAGTTCTCAGGCTTTCTAAGGTCAAGAGAACACTCTAAGCTTCTCCAGAGAGCACTTCATATCCTTTTAGTCAGAAAGAAGTGGTTTTCCATGAGATTTCTTTCAAAAACTCAAGAAATACTTGCAAAAGACCTGGAGAAAATGATGTTTTTTTCTCTCTTAGAGGACACATATGAGCATGAGCCACAGTTGCATCAAAAAACTAATTTGTCAATACCTTTTTTTTTTTTCCTTAGAGTGGCAAGATTTGAAGTGAATGGAGGTTCTTTGATTAAAAAATGTCAAAAATGTCTATTTATCTATTTATGGTGCCTCAGTCCTGAAGACCCATGACTTGTCCTGACTCTTCAGCTCCTTCCTTCTCCTCTGTCAGTTCTTAGGGGTAGCAGCTCTTTTGAGATTTAGGACAAGTCTTCCAGCACCTCCTATGAAGATCGAGGCCAGTCCCCAAACAGCTTTTACCAAACACAACCTTAATTACAAATACATCAGGACCTCTCTTGTCGAGGTCTTAATCCAAAGTTTGGCAGTTTTTTTCCCACTTCAATGTTTTTGTGCAAACAGCTCAGTTGGAAAAGCTGTCCAGGATCATGGAATCACAGGATGGCCTGAGATGGAAGGACCTCCAAGATTATCCAGTTCCAACCTCGTGCCATGGGCAGGGACACCTTTCAGTGGACCAAGTTGCTCCAAGCCCCATCCAACCTGGCCTTGGACACTTCCAGGGATGGGGCAGCCACAGCTTCTCTGGGCAACCTGTGCCAGGGCCTCCTCACCCTCCCAGTAAATAAAATTACACTTGAGTTCATACAAGGTACCTACAAGTGAAAGCTTAGTACACCATGAAGACATCTCTTAGCTGCAGAAAAGGAATTCAGATGTGTGTCAAGGGTTGAACACTCACACAGGAAGCATGAACTCCATTGTCACCATGCAAGAAAGAGAAATAATCTCACATGATGACAAAGCCAGATCCAATAATGAGTTTATACCTCTGTTTATTTCTTTCTGTGTTCACTCATCAAAATGCACTTCACTTACTGATGATCCCAGGACTCATCACACCAGCTGAGCAATTACATCACTTTTAATTCGAGATGGAAGAGGTGATATCTGTCACAAACAGGTATTCCACACTGCCACTGCGAGAGAGGGAGCTGGGAATTGAATCCTGTCACATTGCTGACATTGAGGAGTGCACAGTCAGCCTGATCCCCAATCTCTTAATCAAGTACATCTTGCCACCAAATGCATGAATTCTATAAGCAGCAGATTCAAATCTCAGATTTCCATACCTAATTCCTCTTTACAGAAAGCGAGATGCTGGCTGGAGTTGACATCCATTTTGCTGACCTCATTAAATTATCTGCCCCAGAACAACTCAGGGATTTACATACCAGTAATTCCCCATCCCCAAAGTGAAATGGCTTGTTAGGCTCTTGTATCTGATCCTTCCCAATCTCTAAAGTTAAATAAAGCCTTCTTTATTTGCATTGTAATGTAAATTTTATGTTAGATATCTTATGTAATAAATTCGTGCTGGGCGCGAACTTTACTCTGCTGCAAAATAACTGGGAGCAGGAGTAGGAAAAAAATAAAAGTTCTGCCTTCCACCTCTTAATTCAAAATGCACTTTAACCAACATGCTGGTGCTTGATTTTGGCACTTCCCACTATGTTGTCAGCACAATTAACTTCTTCAGCCTCAGAGATGCACTCAGGAATCAGACAATGATTATATTTAATTTACATTAAATGCTATTAAGACCTTAATTTAAAAAAAAAAAGCCCTCTCAAAACACTGCTTCCTGCTCCATTTTATTTTAATTTGCAATGGTAACAAGATATGTTGTTGTTGCTGTTTTTGTTGTTGTTTTTATTAGTAGTATTAGCAGTATTATTATTATTATTATCTGTCTTTATATTCTGCTCCCCATGGAAGCGTGCAAGTTAATTAAAGGGGTGTCTCTGATGAATAAAATTTCCTTCTCAAAAGAGTTCGCCACACAAGTTAATACTCCATCTGTGGAGCTGCCAAGTACCTAAAACACAAATGCAGTAAAAGATTTACCTGTCTACAGCTCTGCTCTGAAAACAAACCCTGGAAGGGTAAACACCAGAGAGGGCATCTCTTAGGAGGAGTAAAATCATCTCGCTGAGCATTTCTGCGTGCACAAACCCTGCATAGACAATGCACTAAATAATCCAGGAGATGCCAAACTGGTGCCTGTGAGTTCCTTCCCTGTGGCTGCAGTTTCCTCTGCTGGAGGAGCACGGTCCAGCGCATCCCGCATCCCCAGCTGCTCGCGGTTTGTTCTTTGAGCCATCACCCCTCTAATTTATTTATCCACTTCTAAAAGGAGCGCTGCAAAGAGGCAGATGCGGTGGGGGCTGCTCCCCTTCTCCTCAGGGACACCAGGAAGGAGCTGAATCTCTGCCTCTGCTGCTTCTTTGAGACACTGGATGAATGACCAAGCCAGCGGAAAAATCACCAGACCCCGCAGCAAACACCAACAAGGGAAGGAGTTCTCGCTGCCTCACCGTGCCTGCTGATACTCACAACAATCCCAAAGAGCTTTGTTTCCCAGCTCCAGCAGGAAATGCCATTTCCACTTATAAAACAAGATATAGCCTATTTTATTTTCATCTGAGCCCTAATGGAAGAGCAATAATGAGTTTCTCAGATATAGATCAAAAATACCTTTGCTGTAGGGGTTTGAACATCATTAGAGTCAGAATCCCCTTTAGGACAGGACAACTGCACAGCAAAGGAGTCATTTTTTTTGCACTTAAGAGTGGTCAAGTAGGATTGGCAAGAATTAAGCCAGATAGCTCAGCATAACTCAAAACCTGTCTTTCTCACAGCTGCTGTAATATTTACTGCAGTTCTCTTACCCAAAAAGAGGTTAAAATCAGAGTACTTTGAGCAGAGCACTGAGCTGCAGGATCTGTGGCATAAGCAGAAGTAGTTTGAGCAGCTGTATTTACATTTATTCCATTGCTGCTGGAGACAGGAATGCATAAGGGAGCATCAAATATGCAGAGGGAAATTGGCACCACGGGACATCTCCTTCCTGGTGGTGTGGGAACTGATAGACCCCAACAAACCACAAATACAAGTAGATAAAACTTCATGCATTTCCCACAGGGACAGCAATGGATCCTAAGGATCCAATTTCCCTTTCTTCACCTAATAAAAGTGTTTAACTACAGAGAAAATCCAATGGAGACTGTTTGTGGTCTGTGGAGGGGGACACCTGTAGCATGAAGTTCTGCCCTGGAATGTGGTCATAAACCTCAAACAATGCCCTGTTTTTCAAGTTATTAGCTGTGGGCTGAGAGGGGCACCATGTGCTGGGTCTTAGTGTTGAATTTTATTAAAACCCATTGAAACCCAGCTGCCAGACCAGTCTCAAACCAACACCCTGACAGTGAGGCAGAGATTTGGCAGATGAGCTGCTCAGCTGACCTGGAGGCACAGGACTGGCAGCCTGTAAACTATAAAAGTCCAGCCCACTTTCCACAGGGTAGGCTCTTCTAACATATTCCTCCTTGGAGTGTGTGTGGAGATTCATCCTCTGGGTAAAGGATGCACCCCAAGGATGTCTCTTGTGGCTGAGAAAAAAAAGATTTGCTCTTTTGTTGTTACATCAACCTCTAACAATTGTTTGTTTTGGTAGCTTTAACATAATTTCTTTAATGTTGCTTTGATTTAGTGCACTACCCTATCTGATACTGTAATAGTAGTTTTAGCTTTTATGATGCACAGTAAATAATTCAGATTGAGGTTTTTCTTCTAATAACTTATCATAATAAAGAATCCGTTTTCACAGACATTTATCTGATTTGCCATCATTAAAATCTGAGGGACAAAGTTGTAAAACTTAGACTGTTGACAAAGTCTGGGGATAAGCCTGGATCCAGCTGCCCCCAGGCTCCTCTCTGAGGGTTTTAGAAAGCAAAGGGGTCTTCTCTGCACCTCATGACTCCATGGGAGCTTCTCTAATAACCTTTGTCTGAAGCTCCCACTCCAACCTTCAATAGCTCCTCCAAAATGATGCAGAGAATCCACATTTGAAGGGTGACCCAGCCTTATGGTGTATCCTACACAGCCAGGATGATCCTACAGCAGAACCAGAGAACCACAGAACATCCTGAGCTGGAAGGGACCCACGAGGATCATCCAAACCCAACTCCTGGCCCTGCACACCCCAACAACCCCACCCTGACCCTGAGAGCATTGTCCAAACATCCCTTGAGCTCTGGCAGCCTTGGGGCTGT